CGGAAGAGAAAAATCACAGTAATAGTTATTAATTAATGTTGATAAATGAGAGCACGGGTGAGGTGAGCTTAAATAACGCCAGCGATTGCATTTTACCCAAACTGACAAATTCAATGCAACAAATTTTGCGATAACGCCTATTAATGAGTGTATAAAAAAATCGAAAAAAAAATTTGAAATAATCGCGACCAAATGGGCTTCGATGTTAATTAAATGTATTGAAAAAAAAAAAAAAATTCCAAAACAAAAAAACAACCCGATTCAATAAGAATACGCCACGTACAAATGTCGAAATAAAATAGTTTACAAAATATAATTAATATATGTTGATAAAATTTACTAAAAGTCCGCTAAAATACTTTTGCTGTCTATATTTTTAGAAACTTTTTATTATCATACACAGTATAATCATAGACAATAGCTGGGATAAGACAGAAGGATTATTTATTATATTCTTCACTAGAGAACGTTTTTGATTCATCTCCAATAATTGTCCATCTAAAGACTCTCTGGCATTATTAACGTAGGATTGAAAATAATAAATATACATATAGATATTTTTAATTAGCTGCGACAAGTTTTAATAATACGAATTATCCTCGTAATTACGATTAACATCAAAAATGTACGTGTACACGTATACTCGCGCACTAGAATTAAAACGGTTGTTTCGACAAGAGGTGGTATAGTCGTCACCACATAAGTAATACATACCTAATAGTCATCATTTCTCCGCGAAAGCTATTAGCTCATTGGTATGTTTATCATTGAGAGAGAGAGAGAGAGAGAGAGAGAGAGAGAGAGAGAGAGAGAGAGAAGTAACTGAACTAGTATTAAATACATATACAGTTTTAAAAGCTACGAGCATTAAAGAGAGTTACTCGGGGCAAAAGGAAAATATACAATTTAATTATGCAAAGATTATTAACACGTTATTCTTAGTACTTTTGAAATATATATTTCCAAAGACGTATTTGAAATATGGTAATTGTTGAGAATTGTTTATTAGAAAAAACTTAAGGTTTGACAAAGTAGGTGAAACTTTCTAAATAAACATGTGAAATAATTAATGGTGCTAAATTTCAAAGTTCAATTACTTTTCGAGTTCTACGTTCATATTGTTTGGTAAAATTCATTTATCTAATCTGTATTTAAAATATTTATTACGTACAGTTATATTTACGAAATTATATTTAATAATCATTCAAATTTAATATTTATTTTTAAAATGTTACATTTTTCGATAACTTCTGACATCGAAGAAGTTTTTTTATCCCGAATCTCATAATTATCAACCCAAAGTATTATTATATATATATATATATATATATTTTTAACCATAAAAGCCGTTTTTATACCATTCTTATCCGTGATATCCTCGATATTAATGTAATCGTACATATATTTACAGATGGAGTGAGAAGGGTGAAGAGAAAAGGGTCGAGTACGCGCTCGAGAAGCTATGTAACACGGAAATTGACTCATCGAACTCAGTACGATGCACTAGGATTTATCTCGGGTGTATATCTTGAACATTTGGAAATGGTCTTAATTGACAGACATGAAGCCTGTTATACACCTTTAATGCTTAATGTAAAGTCGATTGAAAACGGCTTGATTGCCAATTGCAATATGTCGATCGGATGCAATATATGTTCTCACACATTTCTATTATTCTTTCATTATAATGAAACACTTCGCATTTGCATCAATTTTACACGCATACGCGCGGATACATAAACACACGGGCGCGCACACGTCACGGACGCGTGCACACGCGCAAAATAGTTAGTCGCGGTTGTGTGGTGATTTCCAAAATTGTTAATTATGTGAAAAACCTGTCTGTATACGAGGGCATCTATAACTGTGCTTTAGTGCATACGTGGGTTTAGCTCATATAAATATAACGTTCATAACGTCCAATCAAAAAATATTGTAGACAGAAGAGATTAAAAGAACCATTACATTTTCGTGACAAATTTTAATGTTCTCTACTTAATTTCGATAAATGAAACTTTCATATCAAGAAAGTAAGTTTTATATATGGCCATGGCACGATTGCTTTTATACAAATTAATTTCCTAATAATTTTACTACACACTAATAAAATATTTATTTAGAAAGTTTAATCGATCGGTAATAATATAAAATAATTTTAAATGTTTTTGAACGCCGCATATTCACTAGAAACGTAAATTCTTAGAATCCACAAATTATTTTTTCGAAACAATTTTTTCATTCGAACGAAGACTTCAAAGTAAACCCAAATCCAAAACATCGATGTTGTTTAATTACACTGAATCCGCTTTAGATTTGGAATGATTACACTTTGGTCACGCGTTATGAACAAATAACTTCCTTACAATAATACTATTCATTGTTTTGTTTAAGCTCCGATCACGTACGATAATTTTTCTCACTACCCACTCACTTTACTTGTATTTTTTCTTTCTTTGCTGTTGTCTGTCTCTCTATCTCCCTCTCGCTCTCCCTCTCTCGCTCTCACTCACTTACACACACGCACGCACGCACGCACGCACGCACGCACGCACGCATACTTCGAAATTACCACGAGTCCTTAGAACGAACTTGTAACAAAACGTTACCAGAACAATCAACAAATGTTCGAGAAAAAAATAAAAACACATGGCTTAAGCAAATAATAATAAACGTTAAATGTGCCGACGAATAGTTTTGCTCTTCCTAGTAGTAATCGATTCCGCTTACAAGCGATGAAAGTCATTTGGAGGTTGACACTGTTTTCGTTATGTTTTCAGTTTTGTTTTTTATTTTTCCTTTCTCCTCGCGCATGTAAAAATTAGAGTTTTACCGAAGATCGGACACGAGAAAGGACGTATATGCATACGTACGCGAACGAGTTTTTACTAAGAAAGATTGAAAGCAGGTCGTCGCACGAGTGTACTACAGCTTTTTCCCCGGGAAACGGCCAGAGAAGCACCAATTACATATTAATTGCTCTGCCAACGTGCCCGTGAGTCTTGTGATTGGCGTCAATTTCTTACCCGAATAATAAGAAAAAAGAAGAAAAGCCAAACTGCGAGGAACGTCAGCCTGTCTATCACCTCTTGCTCTCTGTATATAAAATGTACAATTTCATTCGAGAGAATCGGATGTTTTTTTTTTTTTTTTTTTTTTTTTTTTTTTTTTATCAAGGGCGGAGCCATAAATGTAAAGATAATATCCGTACTTGACAACGTAATTTTTAAGACTTAAGATTATTAAAAAATATTTTAATATTACAATATTATTGAGAAAATAATTTATCGCTAAACGATTAATGGTCGGTATTGTATGTCGGTAAAATTAAGCTTGAAATGTTTATAATCTCATATAATTCAACATATTTTCACCTACATCACTTAATAAATAAATTAAAAGTCCTTGAAATCATAAATTCTACAATTTACTCATAATATATTCCAATAATAATTTACAATGAACTTTTATTTAAAGACATTTAAGATGTACTGTATTATGAAAGTAAGAGCATGACTTTAGGCAGTAATTTATTATAAAAATATTATTCAACCTGTTGCCTTTGGCCCGACGATCATACCTATATTATTTAAGTATGCCAAGCCTCTTCCACATAACCCTTTCCTATATAAAATGTTCAGATAAATTACTGACCTTTAATCATATTTTTCAATTGGGTAAGATACCGACACACTGGTAATGCTGCCAGTACTAAATGCATGTAACCTATGTTGTTTTGACCTGTCAGCTTTATCCAATTAATTCATCTCTGCTTTTATGTAAATTAATAACTATCAATTCCAGTGTTACTTTTCAAATAACGAATTAGATTTTGTAATTCTCTATAAAATTAATTAACAAACATGCGCCTTTCCAGTTAAAGATCATAGACGATTGATTCTCTTGTATTTCTTTTATCCGTTCTTTTTTCTTTTTCTTTTTGTAAATAGCACATACGGTCGTCCATTTATAATCGTATAATACTTGTAATAATACATTGGAGCTTCGACTCTTGGCCTTTACCTTAGCAAGGACGAAAAAAAGGCAACGACGGGAGCATAAGCTGTTCCGCGTTTTGAACAAGTAGACAATAAAAGAGAAACCCGAGTTGGTCCGAACGCAGCGGCGAATGGAATCTCGCACTTCGTATTTCGCATGGTTGCGGGGGTGGGCACTCGCTCAGGGCGTAGTCGCGCGTTGTAACACAAGCGCATTGATATCGCGAGTCGCGCGCAAGGGAGGAGAAGACCGCGCGCGCGCGCATCTCTGGGCGGACGCACGGCAAACGATATCCTATATACGTATGTACGCTTGTGTTGCGTAAGCTTTACCACCTACGATGTGGGCATTCAGCATCCGTCGGTACGGCAAAACGATTCATCACTATGATGGTGGTTCTTTGGCAGGCAGAAAGAGATTACGCGATGAGAGAAATAATAGGGCAAGACGAGAAAGTGGTGGATATTTAATGGATATTAGCGGATATTAGCGGCTAAATCTTAAAATGAACGTTCGAATGAAAAAATGCATCTGTGCTGTTAATGACGAGCTTGACCCGTTTGATAATAAGTATTGATTTGTACGGTAGATTTCTCGGTTTAAATAAAATACGATTGATTTGAATTTATTTGATTAAAATTGCCTCATTATTATGGAATATTTATTACTTTAAAGAATAAATGATAATAAAATACAATCACCCACACGAAATACAATCAAGAGGTATTCATGTT